GGGGGGGGGGGGGGGGGGGGGGGGGGGGGGGGGGGGGGGGGGGCATCTTCATATTCCAACTTAACAACTGCATCAATCGTGTTAGTCAGCCTCACACATGAAGCCTTCCCACAGGTCGGAACAGATATCACTCACTTGAATCTTCCTTGGTCCGTTCCCCTGCACCCATATCTCTTCCTACAGCATCTCATAAACTACGACCCTCTATGAGCCGGTATGACTTTGTGGGAGACTTTTCCTGCATACCTGGATTTTCCTTGGCCAGGACATGTGGCTTGCTACCTGAGGCAGCAGGTACACCCAGTGGATCCTGCTGTGTCAGTTTGAGCTGCATTCTTGGGTATGCATCTTACCTCTAGAGGACCTTTCTTGCTTGACATGTCCCATGCCAGTGTATGTGGGCATTTCCTTGCCTGAAGGGTGGGCGTTTGGGCATTTAGGTGGCATATGTGTGTGTGTGAGTGTTGTAGAGGAAGGTGAATGCAACACATCCTGTGAGGGGTGAGACTCAGAGGACCCTGTTGCCTACAAATGCCTCCAGGCCAATCAAGATTGCCTAATATGGTCCAGGTTACTATTGCCCTCTCCTCCTCACTCTACTCATATTGACCTTTGCTATTCTCTATGTACTAATATGTTGACATGCTTGCATGGCTCAGTGAATGTCATACCCAACCAGTATCCACATGAGTGACCAGGTTGCCTTCATCCTCCTATTAGTGCTTGTACAACCATAGTTTGACACACTGGTGCCCCAATGGGCTCACAGCAGTGCACATATTGATGAACCTTGGTGGATATTTGCAAGCTCATATGACCTTTATGCAGAGGGGAGAGGAACACTGACTTGGATCCCCTGACTGGCTTGGTCATTCAGCCTCCTGAAACCTCTGTAATGACTGGTTGCACAATTCAACCAGTCATTCCCCTTTTGCCACTCTCCTCTCCTCTACCACCCTCAGAAGCAAGGATGTCTCCATCAGGCCAACTGATTGCTGATGCTTACATGTCCCTCCTGAATCAGTCCCCTGCTGAGCATGGGTACCCTATGACCACACTGACCAATGTTCCCAGTGTCATTGGGCTGCCTACCATCATCTTGGGATGGCTTCTGCCCAATACAGAGCCCTCCCCTCCCAGTCCATTGTCCTACAGAAAGCAAGTTGGCAATACAAGTCAGACCAATGAGTGTGGGTCTGCCATTGATGATTCTTTCATAGTCCCCTTACACATTCAACCCCCCCCTCATTGCACCATGTATCTCTTTGTCCACCGGAGCAGGACTTCACAATTAAGGCTAATTATCCAACCTTCTCTGGATGCCAAGCAATTTCCTCTACAACCCTCCATGGGAACATTCATCCCAGCTATGTTCTTGAGGAGACCTGAAAATGGCATAGAAGAGCACCTGTGTCATGCATTTGACAGTGGCCAATATGCTTCTTGCCTGGTTGCAACAGCACAAATCCCTGTATCCGAAAGCCGCTGGGGTCATGGGGCCTACTATGAACTCACCACCACTGGATTCAGGACATTAGGGATTCTTGGCAACCTGCTATGCCCATGTGGACCACCTTCGAACATGCCAATTGACCCTGTGGATGACACTGATGACCACTATATTTCCTTTCGGACTCTGATGGAAAACTCCCCTGAAGCCTAAGTCTTGTCAGATCATGCCTATGTCTTCTATTTAATCAACTGCATGATTCAAGCACCTTTCACGGCCCCACATCACCTATGAAACCTTGTGCTGCCTTCTGGTGCTGCCCCAGTGAATCAATCTCCTCGAGCATGATCTTTCTCTCCCAGCAGTTCAGCATCCCTCCCATCCCCTATGACACTTGGCTAACTTATCCAGGCAGGTGCCTGGGATGAGTTGGCCAATGATCTCACTATCACCAAAACACCAGACAGTGTGTTGCCAATGGATCAAGCTCATATGCTGAGAAGTACTGGTACAGTCCCTACCAGTACTTCAGCAGTGATTTTGACTTTAAGTGCTGAGTCTGGCACTCTTGGCATTTGAGATGGAGCAGACAGAGGTGAGGGGGGAACTACTAGATGTTCCAGAGGCCAAGAGGGAGGTACAAGATGTCCAGCACACTTGACCTGGCCTGGGGACACAGTACAGGCTCATCAAGGGGAACAACAGTTCGAGCTTATCACTAGGCACTTGGCAGATCAATTCCCAGAAGTGGCAGCAAAGTTGTCCCAACAAGGTCAAGATGTACCACCATTGACCAGCCCATGGTGGTTCAAGATGTGTACCACCATGTATCTGCAAGTTTGTGAGGCTTTAGATATGCCTTCCTTACATGAACAGAATGAGCACCTCGTGTCTGATCAGCATGATGGTTGGTCAGGTTGGCTGACATGCAAGCATGTTGCTGCA